TGAGAGAATTCCGGCTGATTAGCATCAAGCCTCTGAGAACTCATCGCTAGCCCGGCAAATCTGCGATAAGTTGCCTGAGTAGAGAAGCTTGCTTGGCTGGCGAACGAGGGGGTAGGCTCATTTCCTAGGACAGGCAGTCCATGCATATAATCGCTGATGTCGCGCCACAATCGCTTCCTATGATCCTGCTTGTATGTAAGACATTTAGCCTCAACTACTTTTGCTGCCTCTCGCAGATAACCCAAAAGCTCTCCGATCGTATAGCCGACCATGATTTTCTCGAAAACACCCACAACTTTGTCCCTTGTAAAGTCAGGCCCACTAGCCTCAAAGTAGTCATCAAACACAAACTGCAACAGGTAGCCCTCGACTATAGGGTCTATAGTAGGAACTTTGCCAAACTGTCCGTTCTATGTGACCGCCTGTTGGTCCTGGGTGGAGTAAGCCTGATGGACACGGATCCTAATGCCTTTGCTCGTCGATATACACGAGAAGAACCTGACCTTTTCGAAAAAAAATCTGTATATGCTCATCCTCAGCTTCTCTGAAGAACTTATATATGTTGTGTAGAGATTGGCTAGCATTATTCAGATTTTGACATAGCAACCTTATCATCAGGAGACTTAAACGAGTTCTTCCCTTCTATCGTTATAAAGTGAAGGACACAAACTTTCTTCCTGATGGCTTATCCTTCGTAGCATAATAAGCTCCTCATTATATCGGGGATCTTATGCCAACTTTGTTTCTGGAAGATTGTGAACTGGCGAAATGCCAGGGCTAAATCCGCTTTTGGTTGTATGAGGCATTTTGGCTGTAGATCGAACAAAACCCTTGATGGCATTGGAGGGTACTTTCAGATTCTTTCAATAGAAAAGTTGAAAATGGGGATGGTGGCATCCTCTCTGTCGTAAAGTAACCGATGCCGATCGATCATTGACATCATGATGGTACGTTGGAAGACAGGCTCTAGAGGATCATTTCGTGTTTTTTGTAAGTCAAGCTCTCAAGCGTGGATATAGCGTCTTTTCTCTGGTTATGTCTCCTTTGGTGTCTTAGAAGTAAGCGACTATATATGGTCTAGGTATAGATCATGACAGGGCTCCAGTGCCACGTTACGCTCCCTGAGTCCCACCCGAAAGCTCTCCTGGTCCGTTGGGTTGATTCGACCGCCAGTTTTACCTATGCTAGGATCTGACAACACTTGCTTAAGAAGGTTAAGTGTCGATTCGTCGAGAGGCGGTAAATACCCTATTCTTTTGTATAAGGAAACCAATGGGTCCTCATTAGCAGAGGCGGAGGATGCTCTATCTGAATCCTCAGATCCGGCGAGGTGAGGGGAGAGAAACCTAATGCTTTCGTAGTAGGCACCTAACGGATCACTTTCCGGATGTTCAGGCGTGCCAGGATCTGCGTCCTCGCTGTTGTCAACCTGGTGATGAGATAAGTCTTGTTCCTCGGTCTTTGCCGACTGTAACGCGCGTCGATGCCGCCGTAGAATGGCCTCTGGATCGTCGCTGGAAGAAAGCATAGAGCTAGTTGCAGTAGCTCTTGTATGAGGCCGGTTGACTGTGGATCTTCCTCATGAGGTCTCGATCAGCGGTGATAGCAGACATATCTGAAGATCATGACTTACTCTTTTCTTGAACGAGACATCCCGGGCTGGGTTGGTGGGAGAAAAGGAGACAGTCTGTGGTTGCGCGGGGTAGCTGTCTCTATTTGAGCAGGCTGGGACACCTGAAGCTTAGAGTATGTTTGGACGGTAGCGTAGCATTGCATATGGCGCGGTGGCTTGCATAACTGAATTCGCGAAGAGAATTTCGTCTCGGTACAGCTGAATGGACACCGGCGGCTAAGCATGCAGAGTGCAAATATATCACTCGCATCTTTGGCGCTGAGGCTTCTGCGGCGCTGATCATGTTGTCGGGCGAGATAAGAAACAGCAAAGGACATGGTGGTGCTGCGACATTTATAACGCGCCAGGTCGCTTGGGTGGCATCGCAAGGGCCACGCAGCATGCAGTATTACCACCAATCATGGGCAGTCATACCCGCCTAGGTTTTGCGTTGCTGGCAATGGGGAAAGCCTGAAGAATGGGTCTTCGGAGGCTGATCGCTTGGGATTGTCGTACTCGATTTTAGTTGGACTCCGGCCCCCGCGGGACGGCCCGCCGTTGTTCACTGGGAACGTACTAATTAGTCTAGGGGCCTTTTAGCGGCATACGACTGGAGCCTTCTTTTCGGAGCCATCGATCCACAACCATCCATCCTTCAGAGCTCCTAGACCAAGATTTCCCGGCTACTGCCATGACTTGTTGCTCATTGCAAGGACGAACAGTCTTATCCCATCTCAGAACGACAGACCGCCCGTGTGCAATAATAGCTTCATTCGTCGCGTGAGCACCCTCAGCCCTGAAAAGACCAGACAACTGCTGAGACTACCGTCGCCGCGACGGCTGCTCCAACTACCGCGGCTGGCTCATGCCAGCCGAGCATCGCTATACTCGTCATTGTTGCAAAGATCCCACCAGCAGGTGTGAAAGCTCCATACATGTAGGACTTCCATGCGGCCGCAAGAGAGCCTAACAGAGTACTCCTCTTAGCAGATAGTTCTCAAGAGGCTACCTTAATCGCGTGGCGGACAAACCTGCTACAACCCCAGAGGGACCGAAGCCTAACATCATGAAGATAGTCATGACTAATGTGAATGTGATAGCCCACGCGATCAACACCATATATACGTCTATACACTTCCAGTACTGATGCAATACGATATAACCTGATGTCGAGGCTCACGTGGCTGCGACAGCCAAGCAATAACGGCTTCAAAGCCCCGTCAAACCGATTCAGTCCAATCGGCATACCACTGAGGAGGCGCGGAAGATACAGTGTCGGCGAGCAAGTGCCACGGATGCATTGTGGAGCCGCCCTGAAAAGCGGTAGCGATCGGAATAAACATTTTCTATCGATACGCACCGTGTCTGTGTATGGTAGATGTCTTGATATTTTTTGAATACTGATAGAGGCCGAGCTGCTTATTGGGTTGGGCATCACATGACTGAATTGGTGCCTGCCTGTCGTGGCTGCCCGACGTGGCTGCCCGACATGGCAAGGATATGAAGGCGGTAGTCAGCCTAGACTCGTTTGCTTACCTGTGTCCAGCGCCTCACTCTTGCTGCATTACCAAACTTACGGATTGAAACACTGTATTAACAGCATTCAGTATGCAGCCGTCTAATAGTTTTCAAGTTTCAAAGTTCGAGATGGGAGTGTTTGCAGATGGCCGGTGGAATTGCGGCTGCGGTGTTCCTGCGAAATGGCTGACATCACACACAGATGCCACTAAGGGGCAACGGTGTAAGTGTCATGCCTTTAATTCATGCTGCGCAGATCTATTTTAATCTTAGAGTCAGTTGCGAGGTGTCCAAATAGTGGGACAAGAGATTGCAAGTTCTTTCTCTGGGAAAGGGACGAACCTGGAGCGAGGACGTCGAAATCTTCAGAAGTGCCCCCCGCAGTGCCCCCCGCAGTGCCCCCCGCTCCACATACTCCTCCGGCGAACAGATGTTCGGCGGTTGCCTCCCATTCGTCGCTACCAACACCAGATTCTGGAGACCGTATAGGTGTGCGGGCGGCGCTGCTCCGGTCATCCGACATATCTCCAACGCCAAAGCGATATCAAGATGTTCGTATAAACACCAGTGGGGAGCCAGATCTTGCTGAGGAAATCCTTGGGCTTCTCCTGGCTGAGAATATTCGGATCAAGCCTTCTCTTGAAGTACGGCTACGACATATCATCAATATGAGGGTAGGGGTATATGAGACCAAGCTGTAGATGTACGAAGAGACTGTGATAGAACTGAGCAAGAAGCTAGCAGAGGCTGAAAGGGGTGGATCTAGGGAGGACTAGCTATGTTGTGTCGGTGTGATATGCGAACCTGGTCCTGTGTACCTACAATAATAACAGTGTCATATCCCATATGGGATAACCTAGATAAGGTCAACTTGGAAGTGAGAGTGGTTGGGCTAACTTGGTCCTTGTAGCAGGATATACCCAACTTTAGTTGGCTCCAGAACTCAATGTTAAGGTCATGGGTCTGTGCCGGACGGAAGAAGGGCGGCCTAGCTGTATCAACGTTGTTTGACATCGGCTAAGCATGCGGCCCTGATGGCTGATGAAAAGCCGGCCGTCTTGAAGCAATGCTGCCGGCCGATGTTTGCTAAGGTCTCATCTACCGTCGCCAGACCCTTCCCTGATATAGACGGTGGCCCGGGATCAGGCGTAATTTAAACCGGTACCTTTAATCGAAGCTTCGCCGGTGATCACGGGAAAGAAACAAGAGCTTGTTCTGATAGTTTGTTGCCTGCTGTGGCGCGCAAGCTCTATCGGCCCCGGTCGTTAGTGTTGATGCCGTCGAGGCCCTGAATTCGGCTCCCACATTGCTATGACGCATGCTTTGGATGACACTAATGTCCAGCCGAAAGCCATGTCTTCCTTAGAGGACGCGCTCCCGTCACACCATTCGCCTTCTTGCTCCTTTATTTCCCTTGTTGAACTTTGTGACACTCACGGCATGACTCCCACACGTGCATGCCACACCTGTGCAACGTGGTTATATTTGAACCTGTCGCTGAGATGCATGGCGTACAACGATGCAGATAAACGGCTGCATTGACAGTTCTCTGAGCTAATCGGGAATCGTTAGCTACCCCACTTCGTGTTCGTGGTGTACTACCTCTTTCGCGTATTGGTAGCCTCGCAGAGAAAGGAAGTGCGGAGAGATCAAACACAACAGAGGGTCTCTGGTCAAGGGACAGAGCCATGCTCATTATCGCAACCTTCAGGTCGGATGCATCGCCACGGTCCTCCTCGAATTCGAACCAACATCGAGGACTTGAGCCCGGTGGTGCTGCCACTCACGCAACATGTCGACGCAGCGCGAACCTGAACTCAGTGGTCCAGAGCTGACTGCCCACTTGGATGGCCTTTTTAAAGCGGTACGAATGCTCGGCGATAATGCATCATACCGCTATATCGGCGGCGTGTTGGAACGAAATGCCGAGCTTACCAAGGAACTCAAGAGGCTTGAGAACACCGAGAATGTTAATATAGCACAGTTGACCAGGCTGGATCGGCAGCTTGATGAAGCAAAGAAACAGGCAAGGGAGAAAGAAGACGAGCTGGAGAGGATGAGAAAGTACATACAGACTGCCAATGATACGGCCAGGGCTGCTGAAGCGAAAGTGCAAGACAAAGAAGAGAGTCTCGGAAAAGTAGAAGACAAATTGAAGACGCTAATAGAAACCTCGAAGAAGCACGAGACTGACAGCATGACCCACCAAGCTGAGGCCCGGCAGATGGAGGAGCAACTTCGCGTTTCCAGGAAAAATGAAAGTGACCTGAGAGACGAAAAGCGGGTTCTCGCAGAACAACTGAGAGAGAAGACGGAGATGCTGGACGAGATCAACAATTGGCGGCTCCCGATGAAGAAGATCGACAAGATGGAGCGAGATACAATGTCAGTGTGCAGTCCCCTCTCCTCTGCGAAGCTAACAGCAGCCGCAAACAGTGTCGCAAAGCTACAAGGGCTCCTCACTGAGGCGTACAGCCTGGTGAAGGATTACTTCGGCGATGACGTGCCAGACCAGATAGGCAAGGATGCTAAGGCTTGGGAAGCCCTCCGCGGGCATGTCGCGGTGTCCCATCCATACAAGATTCCCCTGCCATCATCGAACTCGCCGCAGGCCAAGCAGATGCGCGTCGCGGCCGTCCTGGCAGTCCTAGGTCATCACCTGGCGGAGGAGATCCTCCAGCCGCTCTACATCCTGGAGGAAGGAGGCGAGCTGAACGAACTCCTCAGTGAGCTCACCAGCGATGATCCTCCGAGAGGCCTTTCTCCGCTCGACACTGCTCGCTGCCCTCACCCGCGAGGACCAGCGGGAAAACAGACGGAAGCGACTGAAGGACGTCTTTCAGGCGGTTATCTCAGCCGTGCAGCCGCTGGTACCAGACGGAAAGCAGGATGGGTTCCGACGGGCGCTCAGAGATCTCTGTGCTCGGTATTGCGAGACCTGGTCCGAGATACAGTGTCTGGAGGGCAAGGTTGAATGGAGTCTAGATGTCGACGAGCCCGACAACTTCGAGCTATTGCAGCTCCCGCATCCGGCAGGTGAGACATCCGGAGGTGCTAGCAGCGGCAACCAGGCGTCAGGAACGCCGAAGACTGGCCAGAGCCGTCCGTCGAATAGCACTGTCTCCCACGTGTCCCAGCCCTCGAGCAGCACAGCCAGCCAGCTGAGAGGAAATGAGACCATCGTGGCACCCGTGTGGCCTTACTTCTTCGTGAGGAGAGGGGGCGGAGAGCTGGTCGCAAAGGGCTTCGCGCTGGGAGAAACACAGGTAAAGGTGGCCAAGAGCGAAGCGTCAAGCCTGAGACGGTCCCTCACGGGAGGCCACCGCGAAGCGAGGCACAGGGCTAGAACTTTGTCTAACCAGGCGGAGAGCAAGGCAGCGAATTATTTTTTATCCCAAAATGGATCCGCACAGCCGGCGGGCAGCTGATCTCGAGCCGGCATAGCAGATGATGGCAATGATCGAAGCAGTTATTCATTACGTGCGGAGAGGCGAAGATGGGTAGATCAATGTTCCGCCTGTCTCGAAGAATGCGCCGATGGCATGTTTGACATACTGCGCTGCCGGTAGACAAGTCGGATGGTAGCGCACCGACGACACTACTTTCGGTCTTGAAGGGCTATATGACGGCGACGAAGACCTGTGCGCGCCCGTCAGAAGGGTAAGCAGCGGTAGTTACGGATGAAGCAATAGCTTTCTTACCTCGCCGTGTCTCCTCCGTTTCGTGATACGTCTCCCGCGTGCTTGTGTTGTAACGGTCTGGAGCGCCGGCGTCGCTCAGCGTGCGGTCTTCAAGGTAGAGAAGTCATGTCTCCCACTAAAAGCTGCAGATGTAGCACGGAGAGTTTATCAACGTGCACGTGATTGGGAAGCGATTGGTGCCGGGGTCTTCGATGGGATCAGCCGCAATTTGCACCGCGAGGTCCGAGACCTTGGGGCAGCCTGAAACACATCTTATGGTATATGTGGCCGAGACTTTGATGTCGTCGCATTTGCCGCTGTCGAGATCAGGGGTCCATTAGGATGGAGAGGCGTTCCTATTGGTGGATTTGCCACGCTCCCAGGCAGCCATTCGCCAAACGCTTTCCTTGCCACTGACCGACCGCCGCCTCTAACCCCGACCACACGCTCGGCGGCAGGAGTTCTCATCGCATTCCATGCCCTGATGAACAACTGGTCGATAGCCTGGCCTCTCCGGCTGAACGGCGCTCGGCGAGTAGTGCTGATTTCCTACGTCCGTATTGCGTTGGGATCTGGTGGTGCTGCGAAAAGGGACCTAGGGAAAGCTGCTCAAGTCATATATTGCAAGCTACGATCGGAGAAGGTGAGATTGGCTCCGTGATGAAAAAGGAGAAATACTCGAGGCTGATTATTGACGAGGCTCAAAAGGACGTTGCGGCGGGCACGGACTTTCAAAAAGGACGTGTATTGGGCTTCTTCGAGAACTTTTATGAAAGAAGTGCTGCCTACGGTGGTAATCTGCAAGGCCAATTGCTGCTAACCAGGCATCTTAGGTGGCTAAAACCGAGGAGCAACAAAACCAACCCAAAATAAACCAATCAGTCAATGCCATAAGGCGCTTGGACCACATCTCGGTGCCTACCAGGATCATCATCGTATGACCTCACGCTCCTTACTTCACCTCAGTCTAACCTCTCCCCACCCTCCAGGATGCTACTATGGTATTCTGATGGCGGTATGTGCGTAATGGTTGGTCATCGTGAATTGTTTTCTGCCACTTGCTGAACATAGCTTGATTCGTTCCCGACCATAAATCTCCTCATCTTCCTTCAACTTCCATTTCATCGCCATGGCCCAAACTCGAGCCCAGGTAGCCGCCCAGAGGAGTCGCAATTTGCCAGAAGATCAAGGTTTGTTTTACGACGCGTCGGAAGGTCAAGGCTAACAATGAATAGGCCAGCGGCGAGGCGCCCCGGTACGCAAACGCCCACGCCGGAAGATATATCAACAATCGTCAGCTGGTCCGCCTACGTCTGTCCAAGCCAGAGATCGAAAGCAAGCTATCGAAGATACACACGATCCTGCACCTAAACACCCTCCGAAGCGACTGCGAATATCGACACCGCCTGCTGAGGAATCGTTCGCCGAGGCAGCAAACAATAGAGATCTCCTTTGTCCAATCAGTTTCTGGACAAGAGAAGGATTCTGGCCACGCGAATACTTCGAGGTCGGCATGGAACACGCACTGGCACGAAAGCGGTCCTTAACCTCTCTTCGACGTAAGCGATCAGACTCCGCAACATCCACGACACCGAGCGACCAAAAGCCGCGCGAGGAGAAAAGTGCCCCATATCGAGATGCGCGCTACGAGATCCTGCTGGCCACAAAAGGCACATTCATGGAAACATCAGAGGAGGGGATTGCAGAGGAGAGTAAACAGCTTTACCGGGACCTACTCGAAGGCGATCATCACTTTCCTCAAGGAACGATCTTCGACGGCGACGTGTTCGAGAGAGCTTACAAGAATTTCCACAGCAAGAACGAAGCCAGGATCATCCAAGACATATCTAGACTTCTTGTTCCTTCAGCGGAAACCCTTTCACTCTATAGCAAGGAACTCCGGATTTTAACGGAGAGTGTCAATGAGGGATGGAACAACTCGATCGCCCTGACGGGGACTCGTCCGCAACCGGACTACTCTGTCGGCTTCCGGCGAGAAGCATTCACTGATGACCAGCTCACCAAGTTGTCGCCGTTCATTGGCGACTTCATTGCCGGCGACCTATCCTTCTTCATGGCTACATACTACATGTACTTCCCCTTCCTCGCTTGCGAGGTGAAATGCGGGGCCGCAGCACTCGACGTCGCGGACCGCCAGAACGCTCACAGCATGACCGTAGCGGCGCGGGGCATCGTCGAGCTGTTCCGTCTTGTTAAGCGTGAGAATGAAGTCCACCGGCAAGTACTAGCCTTCTCCGTCTCACACGACCACCGATCCGTACGGATCTACGGCTATTACCCAGTGATCGATGAGAAGGATACCAAGTACTACCGTCACCCTATCTATATGTTCGACTTCACGGCACTTGATGGTAGAGATAAATGGACCATATATCAATTCGTCAAGAACGTCTATGACACTTGGGTGCCGGATCACTTCAAGAGGATTTGCTCAGTTATTGACCAGTTACCGTCAAAGATAGACTTTGGTGTCGCAGCATTCTCTGATTCGACTGGTCTCTCCCAGGACGTCGAGACACATCTGGCGTTGTCGGAGGCGGGTTCTGAATCGCTCTTGATGGACGAAGAGGATCGGTGGGAGAAGGCTGGCCAGATAGTTACCCTAGATACATTATTTTCGAGACTGGGCCCTGCTAAAAGGAGAAAGAGTCCAGTTAAGAAGCTATAGTACTAATCGATAATCATGTTAAATTAAGAACCTCATCTGCCAGATCCCGCGCAGGCAGAGCGGCCTACGTTCATAAAGCACAGAGATGACTCCGGTCACCCTGTATGTTCCCAGTCCTGATTGTTTTCTGGAAGCTCATGGCAGGACTATTGTATTGCAACCTGAGGGCATCAACAGACAACCCCGCCGCTCCCCTGTCCCTCCATTCATACCTTGTAAAATCCAGCAGATACAGTTGAAAAGTTCTCACCGTCGCTTCCCATTCTCATTCGGCGCCATGGCTCTACCCTGCGGCGACCTGAACGACGTGATGGGTCAATGTTTTTCACAGGCATCTACCACCCGGGCAGAATGCGACAACCTAGCTCGTACGATGTTTGGAGGGGTGGCCGATCCTGTTCACGTCTAAGGGGCGACCAGCTACACCGTGGTGGTAGGCCTGAATCGCGAGAATATTGTCCAGTTTAGATACCTGGATGCCCAGATAGATATGAGAATGTCGAGTATTGTCAGATAGGTTCATGGAGACACTGTGCCTGAAGGTACTGCCCTCGGCCATATTGGCGACGATGCGTAACAACAGCTTGCAATATATCAGATGGCCAGGCTTCCAGGGGATAACTACGCTATGGTGCGTACCTCTCTGACTGAAGAACTTTAAAGCCAGTTAGCTACCATACATAGTTTGGCTAGGTCTGCTGAGATATTATATTGACTCTTATCTGCTCTGGGTTATCTGACATTACGAAATCAGTTTCTTTGCGTAAGCCTGGCGTAGGCTGGTGGCCCTGGACTAGTGTACTCTTCCTGCTATGGCTGCCGAACTCTTAAGCCGGCTCTATGATGTCTCCTCTTCTGGCGTTCTTACTGTTTGCTTGTAGTCGGCTTTCGACGAAGTGAAGGAGTATCTACCAATGCTAGTTTCTGGAGAATTTCCGCTAGCGCTCATACACAGCGATCTTAATGAGCTGAATATACTTGTCGATGCCGGCACTGGTAATATCATAGGAATCATCGACTGGATCGATGTAGGTATCCAGCCCTTCGGCCTTACCCTTTATACTCTAGAAAAGTTCATTGGCAGTATGGGCCAGGATGGGTGGGTCTACCTTAATAACGCCAGCGTGCTGAAGGATGAGTTCTGGAGGGCCTTCGCTCACTATGCTGGGCCAATATCCTAGTCACAGATGGAGAGTATTCAGATTGCGAGAAAGGCGGGATATCTCCTCCGGTACGGGACATTCTACAGCAATGGGCACAAGGGAGTTGTAGGGATCGACAACATGAGCATTGACAAGAGGCGTCTATATCTTGAAGCAATTCTCTAAGACAGCCGAACGCGACCCTGCACATACCTTGGTGTTCCATGCCTAGCTGAAGGTGTGACCGTTCTCCCTCCTCCATCCACCCAAAGAAAAGCCCTGCCTGTCAGTCGCCAGGCCAGTGCGGCCCAGTGGGCCTCGGTCCTAGTTGATGGCTTCCTCCCTGCGCAGCGCGTCAATGACGGTCTCCTCATCAATGCCATACGTGGCACTGCCGTTAGCATGCGGGAGCAGGTTAAGGACCCATGCTCTAATCCCTTCTGTTCCAAGTAAGAGATACCGTCAAGGACCTGCAGCGGAGTCAGCATGTTGTAGAGACGCACAGTTGGCTGTAGGCTTGCCTGTCCGACTATTGCCGCAGTTCGCAGTTCCGTCAGATATTTATTGCCACGAACCTTGTAGAGGGAGCACGGCATGTGTTCGAAAACTATATAGCAAGTATCCTGTGACCAGAATATCTCGTAGGGAGAGACGATATTTGGGTGACGAATGCTTTGGATCATGTCCTGCTTGGTTTTTATGTCAATATCTGTGAACGTCCTAATTGAATATACATCCGCCCGTTTACCCAACAATGGGTGTCTCTCCTCTGCTACAATGGCCCGATGATCAAGCCCCAGAAGTAGTGTGTATATCTTCTCATAGCGTTCCCATGGAGACTGCCCCTCATTTAATGAGACAGGTCTGCATCCGGTCACTGTGGCTCATTGATCTCACAAGGTCTATAACCTTCTGGCTTGTCTCAAGCTTATGAGTCTCGATGATAGGAGCATTAAGTCTTTTAGCTGGTATGTCTTTGGCAAGAGAATTGTTACGATCCTTGGCACTAGTCTGCGAGGGCAGAGCAGGCTCCCAGAGCCCTCTCAGCCTCTTGAAGTCAAGTTGTATATGACGTTTGTTCGGGTCAGACATCATGGTAATCAGTATCTGCTATTAATGCTACCGCGCCTTTGAGGACGCTAGCAACCGACTCTTTATATACTATGGTAGATCTAAGTCATAATGGCAGGGCATTAAAAAGGGTGTCCCACGTTATCAACTTGAACGACTTCGACTATAAAGAAAGGGTCCTAAATACTCTGCCTATATATGAGGTGGCCGTAAAACACTTTCTGGTCAAGATATCCTAGAATAATTCTCTTCCAATTTCCTTCTATTTCCTCCTCTTAGAGAATATAAGCGTATCTTCTTATTTTTCAAGTTCAATTCATAGCTACCGGTATCATATTATAGTGTTTTTATAGATATTAACTTATTATAGATAGAAATCTGATAATTTCTCCACCTGCCAGATCATCTTGCGGTAGGGATGGTAGGGACCCCCTTGTCGTTCAGCCTGCTTGGCAAGACTTTGTTTAATGACAAGTAGAAGGCAGGAAACAAGGCACAGTCTTTGTAATACTGCACTTCATCAGAGACCTTACATGTATGATGATCTGAGATATCCATTCCTCCATAGTCTGCCAGAGACACTCATTGGAGGCTCTATGATCGAGTTTGCGATCCTATCCTGAGTCTCTTTATCCTCCCCTGGTAGTCTTCGGCCTAGGCGAGCAAGAAAAGCTGACCCTATCGCCATCCGGCCGGCGACGGCGAGCAATGCTTGAGTGTTATCAATACCCTCAGTACTTGGAACCCACACTCGCGTGCGGATGTCGAAGCCAAGCATGTTGTCCTACAGTAAGTATCTAGCAAAGCTAGATGGAAGGATACTTACGTTGGAGAAATCGATGACTATAATAAAGCCATTGGTATCGATCATGAAGTTCTTAGGATATAAGTCTGATTGACAGAAAACCCTAGGCTTAAGGGAAAGGTTTATAATCCTATGATTGCCTTTTGTTCCTTTTAAAAACTGTTGATGTTTGTTCGTTAGTTTACTGCCTACTGTTATTCTATCTACTATCGTAAGGGCCAAAGTAAAATCAGTATAGTGAATCAAGATAGAAACCTACTTCGTTAAGATGAAGCTCTAGTTGATCGACGTTCTCATAATGTTTTGGTGCTTCTCGCTCGTCAAAAAGCGAATGCCGGATATAACCTCCATCTACTGCGGCCGGGCGAAACCCTGAAGCGATAGGGATGTGGTGAAGTTCCGTCAGACTTAAAGCGACTTAGTCAATGATATGCTCCTTTTCTGCCTAACTTTGTGCTTCGTCTAGAAATTCGCTGACAGTTTTTCTCAGGATATACTCTATAACGATGAATATCCGATAGTCATACTTGAAGGCATAAAAGACAGCTGGGGCCCGTATCGGGGATCCTTGGCGCCACAACTCATGGTACGCTATATCCTAGGCCACCACCTCGTTCCAGTATACTGCCTGGCTATATTTTATCCAGAAGACTAGAGAGTCCGACGGAAAGATGATACTTCTACGAGGGTGCTCTTTGGCATAGAGGTCCAGAAGCTCGTCTACTGGGGGAATGTGGGTATCATATGGGGGTGAGACGCTGACAAACTCGTTATCAAGGCAGATCTCGTCCTATTGCTATAGTGCCGACATGATAAGCTTCATTATATATCATGGACTTGAATACTCAGGAATATGAATGATTTCAAGTCAAAGTTCTTAAGTCTGGAGCTGTCTTGATGAGAGAGTGTCGAGAGCTTTGGTGGCAAGGTTGACGCCCTACTCTAGCGCCGAAAAGTAGACCAATATGGTGAAGCCGCTGTGGTAGGGCAAATCGGATTAGGCGGCGCTGGTAGCCACTCAAAAGGGTGGGGGTTTGGAACCAAGGTCGTAACGCTGGCCAATCAAAGCGTCGACACCAACAGGGTAGGCCATTAATGGGCCATTCGAGTCAGCGATTATGTAGCGAGCATGTGTGAAGAGAGTTAGAATTGACACTCGGTAAATGACACTCAGCAACGAAGTGTCGACGTTGGTGTTTTAGATTATTCTTGGGACATTCTTTCGACCCTTTCCCTATGACCGTTATTGGTACTTGCGAAATGGAGAATGATGCCAAGAATAAAACGTGCTGGGAGGGCATGAATCCGGAACTAAACCAGGGTGAGCGAACGCTGGTACTCACGGCATTCGCGAATCGGTGAAGGTAAGATACCTGCGCCACTAGCGACCCTCGCCTACAACAGGTTGAAGATGCGGCCGGGCCTAAAGGTTATCGGCGAGGGGTAGGACCAACGTTATGAAAGTGTTTCCCTAGCAGCCTATTACTAATGTATATAAACCATGTCTATGAGTATACTATTCCCTTAAATCTTGGGATAAAATTATCGTCTTTTTATTGCTATAGCTGTCAGTCTCGTTCTTAACCTGTTTCGTCATATATCTTTTTGATCATTGTTGTCAATTAGCTTTTGCTAGAATATACTATCATTATCCTATAAATAGGACTTGATTTTAGTTATATCACCATGTCTTCGTCATGTCGACCCTACAAATCTTCCTAAATAGGCTTGCGGAAGAAAAGGCAGGCGTTAGAATTCGGCTAGGAGGGCTATAACTTTACTTCTTATGGGCGGGAAGCGATATCCCAGGACTTTCGTAATATAACAATCAGCAATACATATGTTAAGTTCTTGCGAGTAGGTACCAACCTTATCTAGGTTAAGACTCAAAATATAGCGAAGAATCATGCCATCATCAAGGTCGACCTCATATCTTCTTATAGTGGTTTTGATGGTGTATATATCAACATACAACCTAACTG